AGTGGGGCTCTCAAGCACTCCGAGTGCCAGTCTGAGCTGAGGCGTGCTCTCCGCACAGCATGAGCCAGTTCAAAGAGCTCAGGTAAAAAGGAAAAGAGCAAACTCACCCACTGTTTAATGCTGATGACGTGCGGAAAGGTGTTCTCATACCAGGTTAAGTAAAATACTTTATCAAAATTAACTTCCCGTTTTTTGATGCTTGTTTAAGTGGCTACTAGAAAATTTCGATTTGCACATGTGGCCTGCACTGTATTTTTACTGGACAGCACTGTCCAACTGCATAAATCTGGAAAACACTCTGGGGTCATTTGGGATGACAGTTATACAAATGCTAGCCAATAACTATTCTATAATATATTTTTTAAAGACTTATTTATTGATGCACACAGAACTGGGGCACAGGCCAGAGGTGGTGCACGGGTGGTGAGAGGATTCACCAGAGACAGAGTGGGGAGCAGAACAGGCAGATTGACAAGGTACACTGCTGAGGGGAGCAGCGGGGAGACAGGAGAGGTCTGCTGCACCCTGTGGTCACCTCCAGCTTGCACTGAAGCAGCTGCAGCTGGCTTGCAGTGCTGCATCCTAACCCTTACGCCACCAGGGGGGGCCCTATTTTAATATATTTTTATTTATTCACGGATACACAGCTGGTGTGAAGGTCACAAATAGGTGAAATGATTGACCAGCAATAGAGTGGGGAGCAGAACAGGTGGACTGACCAAAATAACACTGCTGAGGGGCGCAGAGGGAGACAGGAGAGGTCTGCTGCGCCAGGTGGGTCAGCTCCCTGGCCGGGATCGAACTCCTGCTGCAGTGGCTGCAGGGAGTTCATCCTGCTGAGACTTCACTCCTTGCACCACCAGGGAGGCCTATTTTATAGTATTTCTAAAAGACAAATATTTTTCAGAGGATCTGTTATCTGTACATTGCCAAGAAAACAAAGAGCCTGTCTTAAATACACACTACGATGGGAGTGCGGATGAGCAGCACCATTATTTCTTTAGGAACAGTGTAAAAATGGAAAATGACTTTCTCTTTAGAGAACTCAAGTCCCAGGGCTTTCTGTACTGAAGCAGTGAGGGAGTGGGCTGATGCTTTCAAGACTAAGGGGAAGGGGCAGACTGTTCTCCCAGGATAACTACTTCACGGATTTTTGACGTTTTGACATCTGCACGCTGTTCTTCAGCTACTGATGAATCGCTCCTACATGCAGCAAAGAATCACAGAGAATGGAAAACAAATTCCAGAAGCAGCAGCACCCGGCTCCCCCGGGAGGGACGCGCCCCCTCGCGGGGCCTTACCCGGGGTGATGACCACCCAGCCGCCGCGCTCCTGCTGGTGCATCCACGCTCGCCAGCCTCGGGAGCCCTTCTCCCCAGCCCGGGGCTCGCCACTGTCCCAGAAGGGTTCAAAGAACTCCACCTGTGCAGGGGAGAGCTGGAGGTTAGCGAACCTGCACAAAAATGCCGAGTCACTGGGCAAACCAGTGCCGATCGCCTGCAAGGGGCTTGGGAGTCTGCGGACTTCCGTGTACAGAGGCGATGCACGACACACAGCCCAAGACAAAGAAAGCAACTCTCTGGCCTGAGGCAGCCCCAGCCCTGCTCTGCCACGTGGCAGTGACACCCCGGAGTGACATTCAACAGCACGGCCAAGTGACGGGGGACACTTCGAGATGGGTCACGAAGGCCAGCTGTGGTCATCACGAGGGCCTGGGCCGGGTGGGAGAGGAGCAGTATCGAAGCAGGGACAGTGCGGGCCCCCAGTTGCATGGTCCCCCAACACCTGAAGAGGTGCCGTTTTCAAGATGCTGGAAGGGGAAGAGGATTCGACTGTAGCCCTAAGGCGCGGCTGCCTCAAGCTGGTTCCAATAGCTGGTGCAAAGCTGAACACGGCACCATGACCAAAAAGGTGAGCACCTGGCCGGGCCCACACCCGCACCCCTTGCTTGCTTGGGCATTAGATGTGCTGTGTGTGGCGACCAGGTTGCTGGCAATAAACGAATCCCCGTGGGACCGAACATGAGCACAGAAAGGAACAGGCAGGTGACCGTGTCACCACCCACAGGAACTGGACGGTGGGCCCTCGCCTGCTCGGGGAAAGCCTCCGTAGACGCCTTCTGAAGGCAAGCTGGCTTCCAGCCGGCACGCTGCGGGCCGTGGCCAAGGTCGCCCAGCCTGACCCCAGGGGGCCACTCGTGCTGGGGGTGGCGCTGTGCGCGGGCGGCTAGTGGGCAGGACACCTCCATCGCTGCCCTGGACTGCCCACCCCGAGCCACCAGGCGCCTCTGGAGGGCGCAGAGAAGAGCGCGTGCCCCCCCACCGCGACAGGTTTGCTCCTATAAGGGGGGGCAAGAAAGCCCACTCCAGACAAAGAAGGGTGCCTTCCTGAAAGCTGTGTGACAAAGGTGACAGCCCAGGTATTCGTGCCGCAGAAACAGAGCGGCGCGACCGGACTGCGGCTTCTGCTACCTGACGTCTTTCCTGCCCCAGGTCTCTCGGTTACGGAGATATGGAATGTCACCAAGTAAACAGCTTCACTTCAAAGTTTTCAGATAAATGCCTCGAAATTGCACGTGCTGTTGGCGCTTTGAGGCCCCAAGTGTGTGGTCGGGCTCTCCTGACTTCATGGTCCCGAGCAGGGCGTCCCGCTGCACCCGTCAGGCGCCGCTCGCAGCACGGCAGCATCCACAAGGGGGGGCGGGTGATTCGGATCCTGACGCTCCCCCCAACCACACAGCGGGTGCCCCGGAGGCTCGGCTGAGCTTCACTGCTCCAACAGGCATAGTCATAAAAGAACTACGCTGTCCGGCTTATTAAACTCTCACCAGATCTACCAATGCCAGGATAGCCTAGGTGGGGGGGAAACGGGTGGAAAAAATAAGGACAAAACATCTTTCCAGGGAGTTTATGGAGCGGCCACAAGACGGACACCCAGCCTCTCCCGGGAGACCTCTGCAAGCGGACCAGAAGCTCAGACACCCTTTCTGCCTTCTACCAGCCCCTTTCACTGAGCAAGAAGCTGAATCTAACTCAGTGGAAACAAGAGAAAAGTGGGTCTTCCCACGTGGGGAGCTCTACAGTTGTTTCACTGCTTTACATTTCAGCACTGGCCACGTCCTCTCACTCAGCTCCCGCAGGACGTGAGGTGGGGGGGGGCCAGGCCGGGGGAGGGACAGCCCAGGGGCGGGCATGACAGCTGTCCCCCTAGCTGGCAGGAGCCACACAAAGCAAACAAGAGGGAGAGTGACACAAGCGAGTCTTTCTCTTCGGAGGGACAAACATAACCGCCTGCCCGTGTTTCGTGCTTCTAGCTGGGGGTTTTCCGAGGCTCGCCAGCATGCAGTGTGCACGACGCTTTGAGGCGACCACACCCTCGCGTCACCACAGTCCCCCTGAAAGAAGAGGGGAGGGGGGCGCGGCGCCCGGAGCGGGGGTACCTGTCCTTGGGTGGGCAGGTCTTTCACACTGTCGGGTTTGAAGAAGGTGAAGTCGAGCATGGCCTGGAACAAGGAGACGGCCTTCTCCGCGTGACCCGCCTGCCGCAGGAAGTGGCACTGCTGGAGGAAGAGTGCTGAGTCCGGGGGCCGCGGCAGCACAGGAAAAGGGCACAGTTAGCACCAAGACAGTGTCTTTTCTCGGAAATTAGTTACCGCGACCGTCTGCAGAACTAACGCAAGCGCACCCCGACCTGAAAGGGTTCGCAATCGTATCATCAACGCCTATTGATTCTTTTATATGAAACCACACAGATGAAGCAGGCGAAGGTCACTCTGTAAACTGGCTAGCAAACAGCCCAAGCTCAACGCTGCAAGAAAAACCAGGCAAAGAAACAAACCCCAGTGGATTTTCACCAGAAGCAAAGCGCTGCGCCCGGCTGGCCGCTAGATGGCGGTGCTCGCCAGCAATTCCCTCGCAGGCCCAGCGTTCATCTAAAGTGTGGTGCAATTTCATTTGCCATCATGAAGCTCTCTGTGTCAGTATGGTAAATGCTTAGTTTCCAGAGCAAGACAGCTGTATTTTGGGATGTTAATGAAGTACTCGGGGGTGAAGGGCAAACCCGGGATTCAAGCCCGGAGTGATGCCAGCACCTGCCGCAGGCGCTGCCTCCTGGTTCTCACTGCTGGACAAGCCCCCTCTAGGCTTCCTCAGAGCACACCGGCAGCCGGCCGCAGAGGGACAGCAGTGCCTACTCGGCCGGCCTGCGCTACCTACACCAGAGCTCAATCTTCACTGTCGACCACAGCCCCGCAGCACCCTCTTACCAAACATGGCCTCCTCGGTGCCGGGCAGGGCGGGGTGCGACAAGATGCTGCCGTCCTGGACAGCGGACAGGGTGCTCAGGCACTTGCCGTAGAGGCTGTGGATCTTCGAGATTGAAAAGGTGCTAAACTGGCTCTGGCAAAATAAAAGGTATTTCTGCCAAAGGGCAGTGTTGTTGGGGTGTAAGAATATCAGCTTCTGCCACTCCTTGAGCAGCGTGGGGGGCTCCCAGAACTCGGCGCACAGCTTCAGCTTGGCGAGCTTCAGGTCCACGCTGCTCTGGTTGCTCTCGATGGCGCGTTCCAGGACGGCCAGCTTCTTCTCCAGAGTCAGCTTCAGTGACCGCCTGCGCTTCTCCTGCTCGCCCTCCTCGATGGCATACAGGCCGGGGCTTTTCATGACTTCGTCCTCGACAACAAAGACACCAACTCACATACACAGGCAGAACCTGGGGGCCCCGGAACCTCAGGCCGCCGCCGTGCTGGCGCCCCCATGCTCCCTCGCGGCTCACGGTGACCGGTGGCTCAGGCCTCCTCGACGAGCGCTTGCCCGTCACAATGTCTTTTGATGAAAAGACTCAAGGAAAGGCTCTGCAGCCCCGTGTCACCAGCGTTTGGCCTTTCCTTCCTCGGCTGTACTGTCTACTGTCGTTTCTAGCACAGACTTATGAATCAAAATCTAGCAGGTGATGCCACGAAAACCTTTTCTGAAGAGCCAACTTGACCAATTAAATGTGGGACGCAGGGTGGCAGTCTGAGGAGTTGTTCAAAAGAAGTCGGAGGGGCTATGATGAGCCCGTGGAGGGTGGGGGGAGCGTGACCCTACCGGGGAGCCCGATGAGCAGCCCCCCTCTTGGGCAAGCGGGGCATCTGGCACCTTCTCTTCACACTTTGGGGACACTCTCCCACCTGGGGAGCACCCGCTCTTTCACTATTCCATCTGGATCTCCTGCAAGCCCTTCCTCACTTCCCGGTGGCCGGGGATCCCCTCATTCCTCCCCCAACTGCACATCACAGTATCAGCGCAGCCCAGACACGCAGACACGCTGGCCCTTCCCGCCAGCCTGCCTGCTCGCGGGACTCCCAGCAAGCTCGGGGCGGGGCTGCCTTCTGCCCACCCAGTGTGTCCTGGCGGAGCCCTGGGAGCTCCAAATCACCCCAATGTACATGACCGCAGCACCCAAAATGGGGGCTGCCACCGAAAGGTGAGGGAACAAGGACAGCGAACCTACCTGAAAAGCAACGAACGCCATCCACAGCTGGATGTCGTGGGGGTTCTCCCGCACCTTCCTGTTGAACTCCTCCACCCTGGCCTTGAGAAGCGCGCTCTCCGGGTCGGGCTGCGCGTCCGGCTGCTTCGGCTCCTGCTCTGAAGGACCCTGTCCTTGTAACCACTGCGTGGTGGACAGATCATAAATGCCCAGAGGGTTCAGCCAGGTCGTAACGGGGGGCCCCACGCCGTCCGAGTCCTTCACGGGGATGAAGGATTCTGGCTCCGAGGGGGGCGGCTCCGCTCGGCTGCGCACGGCAGCTCCGTCGGCGCTCAGTAAGCCCACGCTCTTCTTGGTAAAGTAGCGCTCCACCTGCCTGTGCAAGCGCCTCTTCTCTGTGGGGGCCCCCTCCCAAGACACGCACTGCTTCTTGGGGTTGATGCCCAGGCAGGAGTCTCCTTTCCTCTTGTACCTTTTATTTGAAAGAGGAAAAAAAAGTTACTGAGGGAACACGCGCACTAGCTCTGAGTGACTAGAAGCTCGTCAGACGAACTCGTTATGCAAGTTGACTGCCTGTTTTCCAGCTCGCTTTACCTTCAAATGGTTTCTATGCAGAGAAGTACGACGCTTAGCAACTGACTTTTTCTGCCTGCCTCTAGCTTCGGGGCTGCCTCCTGAATTTAAGATCCTGCCTGTCTTCCAGAACTTAGCAAGCTCCATTTCCTGGAGCTTCGTAGTTACAGGACTGTCACCTCCTCTGTGTGACGTGGCTACCACCAGGGGCACGGCAGGAGACGCCACCCTCTCACACGCGTGCTAAGAACACTGAGGCTTTCAGTGATAGGTCATCTGTCACCTAGACCAATCCCCTTTTCCTTAATAACACGCAATGTCCCCACTTGAGAAGGTAACAGAACAGTCTAGATCCTTTTTTACATTCTGAAACAAAGTATGCCAAATAAAATGACATTTGGCCATTTTCTCTTCTAGAGAAAAAGAGGCCGGGCTCTGAAACGCTCTCCGGAACGTGTGGGCGTGCCCAGCTAGGACAAAGGGCCACCCAGTCTGTGCCAGGGCCGAGGGAAGCTGCAGTGCCCGTGGGGAGGCCACGCAAGCAATCCAATTTAAAAGGATTAAAAGCAGCAGATCTGACAGCAACTTCATGAAAGAAGACAGGGTGGTCAAGAAGCACAAGGCAAAGTGAGCGACACCACTGGTCAGCAGAGAATGCAAATTAAAGCCACCGTGAGCTCCACTAAGCAGCTAAAACGAAAGCACGGACAATACCCAGTGTTGGTGAGCGAGTGAAGATGCACCCGGCGCCCGCACACTGCCGGTGGGATGTAAACTGGTGCAATCCTCAGGGAAAGGCCTGGCAGTGTCTCTTAAAGAAACTAAACACAGGGCCCTCCCTGGTGGCGCAGTGGGTTAAAGCACAGCACTGACAAGCTAAAGTCACTTCCGCATGAGTTCGATTCCCGCCTGCCCCGGAGGCGACCACATGGCGCGGCAGACCTCTCCTGGCCCGCCCGCTGCTCCCCTCAGCAGTGCACTTCATCGATCTGCCTGTTCTGCTCCCCACTCTGTCTCTGGTGACTCCTCTTACCCTCCACATCTCTGGCCTGCACCCCAGTTCCATATGAATAAATAAATCTTTAAAAAAAACAAAAAACTAAACATAGACCAGCCCTATGACCCGGCGATTCTATTCCAAGGTGTTTACCCAAGGAAAAGGAAAACCACATGAGTGCAAAGACGTGTGCGCGAGTGTTCTGGGCGGCCTCACTGACGGCAGCCAATGTCTGGAGCGAGCACAGGCGTCCAGGCGGATGCCGGCCCCGAGGTGCGGGAGCCGCTCAGTGCCGCCACCACAGCAGCCACCAGTGAGGGAGGCCCACAGGCGGCTGGCAAACACTCGCCCCTGCCTGGCGGGAGCAGCCAGCTGAGGGCGCACACACATGCTAGAACAGACAAAAGTGACGGTGGAGACATCTGAAGAGCATCTGCCGCTGGAGCTGGCGTGATCCGTCCAGTTATACAGCCGCACGGAGCACTCTCGGCAGAGAAGATGTACGTGCTCCAGCACCTTTGAGCTGTCAATGAAGCCGCCGTCTTTGCAGACATGTGGTGCAATTTTCAATCAAAAAGAAAAAACTAAGCAAAGACTGCATTTAGTGAACAATAGGAATGCTGAAATATTTAGTAGTGTCTGGGCGTCCGCAATGCATCAGAAAAAATGAGGATGTAGGTAGGGGCCAGTATGTGTGTGCAGTACGTAACTGTCCAGCTCTTGCTGAATTTTCAATTTGTTTCATAATAAAGTGCTGTGGGGAGAAAAAGGCAAGAGCGACCCAAGAGAGATACCGCCTCTTCCCCCAGCACCCAGAAACTCTGCCTCCACCTCAGCCCGGCCCACACCTCCTAGGGCGCCCCAGCTCTCCTGCGCCCCCCTCACTTCTCAAGTGCATGAATCCCACTTCGGGAGCACAGTTGCCACACCTCCACACTCTCTCTCACCTCCTCTGCCCCGCCCAGTTCTCCCCAGGGCACCCGGCACCATCTCTCCATCCCCCCATAAGCCAGAAACTACCCGAAGACGTGAAGCTGCAGCTAAAGCTCTCACTCCTTGGGGACACGTCTGAAGGAAAAAACTAGCTTTGTTCTCATTATTTGAGTAATGTTTCCTTACTATTTTCACTAAAAATAGTAAGCATTCAGCAGTATTTTAGCTGTTTCCAAGAACGCTTCAGAAAATATTTACCGACCTATCTGACTTTAAAACTGCATTGTGTAAAACTGACTTTCACAGCGGCATTGTGTAGCAAGTCGGGCGAGAATGCCTGGGCCCAAAGGCCGCCATCCACTACCCGCGAGACCCTCACCAGGCAACCTCAGAAGTCACTGAAAACCACGCCTGTCCATGCTGCTAAGCTCCCAGTGAAGCTCACCCCAGGGGGCTGCAGCAGGGCACCCCCCACCCACCCACCCACACACCCTCTTTTAGTTCCCGCTATCAGCAATATTAGAAAATATAATTTTATTGGCTTCAAACTGCCTGACTGGAGGACTCTGCCACAATTTAAACATCCTACTGATGGACGTTTAATCTCATCCTATTTATCATGTAACTTAGAGTCTTAGTGCTGAGACAGGACCTAACACATAATTTAAGCGAGTGAAGGCTCTTCTCCTATAAAGTCCTTGTCGAAGAACCTGGTAGTCTTCCCTTGAACAGCTCCTGAGGTGGGACCCTCCACCTGGCCTGGAGTCCCAGTGAGCGGCAGTCACACACTCACTTCACGGGAGCTCAGCTCAGGCGGGCACCTGACTGCAGAGGTGGGGGGGGGGACTGTGGGGAGGAGACACTTCCCTTCCGAACCTGAGAGGCTCTGCCCCCACTGAGCCACGCAGCCGCCCCACACCCACCCCAAATCTATTCGCTTGTGCCTCTCAGCGTCAGGCTGTCCGGTCCAACGCCGACTATACCACTTAGTAGCTGGTGACCTTCATCAGGCTATTTACCAATGAAACAAAGCCCCTGTGTATGCCTCACCTGCTTGTCTGTAGACTGAGGTCGGCACCTGCACCTGTGGCAGGGGACTGCTGGGGTGATCAAAAAACTGTACTTACGCAGCTCCTAAGAAGAGTCCTCACACAGCCCACTTACGTAAATTCCTCAGCCACACAGTAAGGGCTACACAAGCTTAAGCTAATATCATTTTTATTTTATAAATCTTGGCTCCTAAGCGGAGCCTCTCTGACATCGTTTTTTAGCCCCGAGGTATTTTCCAAAGATAATTCTGGCTGTCATACCAGCCAGCCACAGAGCCAGCGTGATCGCCGCCTGCTCCAGCACCGCGCAGGGCACGCCGGGACGCCCGCCGATGGGCCCTGCTTTCACACGGGGCCGCATCTGACTTCCTGGTACGTCCCTTCCTGAGTCCTGGCTCTGCCTTCCCAAGTTACACCGAACAGAGCCAATCCACCTACCAAAGGATAGTCCAACAAGCTTAAAAGATAACACTGTGCCAGACACAGGCCAAATATCCCCAAGCCCTGTCCTCCCGGACAGCACTGGCCACATCGCTCACCTTCCTTCAAGGTTCATGGCATCGAGACCCACTCAGAAAGTGTAAAAATTCAGTTCTGTCACAACACCTCCACTGTCCTCTGGCCAGCTCTGAGTGCCCTGGCACCAATTTACTAGTCCCGGACACTCACAACTGTGCAGCTGTCAATCCAGGCGAGACGAACGTCGTTGCGGCTTTAAGACACGTCTAGGAGGTCACGCCAGTGCCGAGACCTTTACAGCAGTGTCCCTGCAGCTTAGAGAGCGTGTCCTCTACTCTTCCCGAGGCCTGGGTCATTCGTTACCAAGCCACTCTTGTTACCATCTTTCCTTTATTACTAAACAAGAACTCTTAAACCTGCACACCCATGTCTAATTCTCTCTCAAATGTCTGTGTTATGTAAGTATGAGGCACAGCAGGAGTTGCGACGCCCAGTTTCCAAATGAAGAGATGGTGGCTCGGACAGAGCCAGGCTCCTAGACAATGTCCACCGCGGACTGCAAAAGAACAGCTGAAGTCTAAGAAGCACAAGCTCAAACCACAAATCTGCTGCTTCCCGGATGTATGATCCTGAGCTTCCCTGGACCTTTCCCTTACTTGTCTGCTACTCACGGGGTAGCTGCAAGGTTCCGGCAGATGAAGCCACGTGAGAGACCGAGAATGGGGTCGTGGTCCAAACCTAAGGCCCAATGGGGCTTGCTAAGATATTCCCTAGTATCTTAGATGGGGTCTTCCACCTTACAGCGGGGTAGGAAAATCAAACAAGACCTTAGGGAACATTTAGCAAATTCAAAAATGCAAGAATGCATGTTAAATATGATGATAGTCACTTACCCTAAGCCATGAGGTTTTGGTAAATAGCGTGTAAACATACATATAAATACGCACTGAAAAATAAACATTGTCACACATGATCAAAGAAATTTTAGTTTGGAATTCTTTATGTGATGAGCTACAGAGTCACAATAAAGAAAGGACAATTAAAATTTGTGAGGTGCAGCGAAATACTGAAAATTGAAATTAATGTCAGAAAATAAACTGCCTGTCAAGAATGACAATGATTTGCAAGGCTTTCTCTTGGGAACCTTCTATCCCTCTTACATTCGCTGATTCTCCATCCTCAATTTTCACTAACTATAAGCTGTCTGGGAATAGAAATTGTGCATCATCGTTCTTTATGCTCCCAAAAGTATCTTACAAAGTACTACATGCCTCAAGAGTTTAAGTATTGAAATGTTTTTGACTGACAGAGCAAAAAAAAATTTAAATTCATTACTGAGGAAACATCACTGATTTTTAGGACCATCTGCTGCTGAGCGCCATGCACTCTGCAGAGCCACTTCCATGCGTCGCGTTTAAGGGCATGTGCAGGGTGTGGGTGAGTGAGAGGCTCACACAGGTGAGGCGGAATGCTTCTGGCTACCACAGGTAATGATGTCAAGGCAGTTTTAGACCCGCTCATCCAACAATATTCTGTGATGGCTGGTCCAAGCATGAGCGCTGCACAGGACCAACCCGACCTGGGTCTCGATGTCAAGGCTGAGCTTTCATTTTAGAGTGTGAGCTAAGACATACGCCTGAATGACTTCACAGTGGACAAAAACCAGCAGAGAGTAAACGGCAGTGGAGGAACAGAGACAACAGAGTCCAGAGGACAAAGCAGCTCCCCCACCAGGAAAGACTGCAGACGCCCGGTACCTTGCTATGTCTCCTCGGTAGAGGGACTTATACTCCCAGTTTGCACGATCCGGTTTCTTATCTATTCTGAAGGTTTCTTCTGTCAGAGCCTGGACGTCCTCAAGCCAAACAAAGCGATGGCCAACATCAGCAGCAGCGTTATTTTCCTGACTGTGGGACGATAAAGGTGAAAGGAAAAAAAGGGGAGGCACTTAGCAATGTTCAAGCCACACAGCTCACATTTGCAGAGAATCAGACACCTCAAACTCCACGTGGCAGCCACCAGAGCAGAGTGCACCCAAGCCTGGACAGGGGCCCCGGCTTCGGAAGGGGCGTGACAGCAACAGCTGCTACCACCCAATGGAACGTCAGCAGGTAAAAAGACAACTGGTCTCAGAATAAGCCTGGCAGAGCCAGGTTCTTTTAACATATTTTTTTTTTCTTTCAACATATTTAAACGGCTAAGTTCGATTTCAAAGAGGCCTGTCAGAGTCCCAGGCCGAGGGAACCAAACTTCAGTGCCAGCCACTGACACCAGCTGGGGGAGGCGGGTCAGCTTTACTTCACCCTACTTATTTGAAAGTACTCAGATGATTTATTCCAACTCCAAATGAAAGAGGAAAAAGAAGCCACCCAGAGTCCACCCAGGCATGGCAGCCCGGCCGGCTCTGGGAGGGTCGCCCGTGCGGGGGGAGACCCCACACAAAGAGCAGAGAAGCCACTGGAAGGTGAGACCCCGTTTATCCTCCAGAGCCAGTTTGTGAGTTGGCTGACTCCCAGCTCACAAGCAGAGCCGCTGCCTAGGAGGCAAGGGAGGGAGGGAAGGCCTTGCTGGCATCTAACCTCCTTCTTCCTCTAGAGAAAATCAGTTCATAATGCTGCTGACACAAGAAGCTGCCGAAGTCATCAAAACAGCCATTAACTATTGTTCCATCCCTGCTCTTTGGCTGTGCCCAGATAGAAATAAAGATTCCAGAGGCTTCTGTATCATTCTTGGCTGGCAACACAAGGGAATGGCATTTCAGGGACACGAAGTAGTTATTCAATAAACATTTGTTGAATGACACATCTGAGGTTAAACGGACGTGGTGATTTTAATACCGTCCCCTTCAGAACAACACTGGCAGTTTTCTGTCAACAATAAAACCCATAAGGGGGGGGCCCTCCCTCGTGGTGCAAAGGGTTAGGACACAGCACTGCAAGCAAGCAGCAGCAGCTTCAGTGCAAGTTCAATCCCCGGCCCCGGAGGTCACCCACATGACACGGCAGACCTCTCCTGACCCGCCTGCTGCTCCCCTCAGCAGTGTACTTCATCATTCGGCCTGTTCTGTCCCCACTCTGTCTCAGGTGAAGCCTCTCACTTCCCCTGCACCTCTGGCTGTACCCCAGTTCTGTATGAATAAATAAATCTTTAAAAAAAATTAATAACCCATAAGGAGTAAGTAGTGAAAGGAGAGGAAGAGGTTGGCCCTTTACAGAAAGACATGGGAAGCCAGTGGGGTAAAGGGAAGTGGGGGGAGTTGGGAGGGAGGGAGGGAGAAGGGCCAGCTGCAGCCTCCCCTGGAGTAAACAAGCCTTTATCCCTTCTCTCTTGGGTACTGAGGTCATAAGGCAGGATGTGGTCCAGGTTGAGCTCAAGGAAGCGTCTGCCTCCACCTGAAGGCGACCAGGTGGCTCATCCCGGGAGCCACCCTGGGAACAGAGGGCAATTAGGAGCTGTGGCCTCTGGGGAGCTTGTCCCTCGATCACCCTGAAATAGAGTCCCACATGGTGCACTACACCCTATGAACCCCCTTTCCTGACATCACGGAAAGATCCTGATAACTCACTAATATCTTAGTCCTGTCTCTATAGGAACAAGCAATTCTTCCAGGTCACCTTCCCAGGAAGAGACTACAGACATGACTAGTCAGAAAGTCAAAGAGAAGAACAAGAATGATCTATTTTGACCTTAACAGGGATAGTCTGCAAAATAGCAGCGAAGTTAAAATTGCTGTCTGCATCATGGAACTATCAAAAGGCTGTAAGCTCACTTCTGACGTGGGTAAGCAGAGGCTGAAAATAACTATCTTTCAAGTTTGAATGCTAGTTCCTGTGTGGTTTCAGGAAATCCTTTAAAACACATTTTCCTTAGCTATAAAAAAAAAAAAAAAGACAAGTAGCTGGAGGTAAGTTTTCAGAGGATACAACGATGACTGCATTTTGCACTGAAGACATACTAAGAATATCAATAACCAATTCGGTCACTCACAAACACAGGGTGCTCAGTGCATGCCTGCTGTGTCCCAGGCCTGTACCAGCTGCTGAGCGAGGTGGGCATGGTGCCTGCCCACCAAAACCGAGCCAATTCAGAACCTTTTGCTCGACTCCTTATTCTCTTTCCGGGAGCAGGCTTGGGTGATGGGCATGGGACCTGAGAGGCAGAGAGCGCTAAGTACGCCTGGAGCCTCTGAGCCACAGAGGCCTGTGAGGCTCCCCAGCTCTGCTCTGATGACAGAAGGGTCCCACCAGCTGGCGGAGTTCGCCTCACTGATGGGAAATCTACAGGCTGGATTCCAGGCCAGCTCTCACTGCCATCAGCAGGACTTCCAAACACACAGCAAATGCAAATAACCCCTCAGGGGTCGACAGAGCCTAGATAACAAATTTTCTCTCTTCTGGGTCACATGAGCAAAGGAAATAAAAAAGTGAAGCGAGGAATCGATCAGGCAGTCGCACGACACAGCGCCTGTCACAGCGAGGGCAAAGCTGCCCCCGTGCAGCAAGGCGTTAGGCTAAGCCGAGACGTCAGGCTCCCCGAGTATCCCTGCCTGGACCTTTCCGCAGAACGACTTGGACGACTGTGCAAGGCAGGGAGCAGGCGGCCCCCAGGGAAAGGAAACTCTGGGGTCAAGACTACACTTCGCCGTGACCTGTGGTTCTAACGGGTGTGAATGAGAGGTGGGAGGGGGCTGGGGGGCGGGGAGAGAGGACACACACCTCAGCGCGGGGAGGGACTGAGGGAGCCACATGGGGGAAGGGCACATCCCTGTGCCCTCTGCCAGCTGCAGGCCGCGGACCCTCACGGACCGGCCTCTGCGACGGCCGGCGCCCGCCACTACGGCACACGTGTGCCTTTCAGGCGTCCCCCAGGCTGCTGGCGAGTCCAATTTTGACACAGTCGTCACTGCGTCGGAGAAACATTCTCAAATCAAATCAGGGGCCTAGTTTTTTAAAGGACTGCTTCCTTCTTTTCTTTAACTTTGACCATTCACTGACTTTTTTCAGCCTGAGGTTTACTAGATCTTTATTGCCTCCATCTTGACTGACTGGCTCAATCATTTCAATGTCTGACTTTTGACAACCACCAAGGGAGAAAATTTAAACTATCATAGGAGGGGGCCTCCTTGGTGGCACGGGGGTAAAGCCTCAGCCACTGAGGACTAAGTTCGATCCCCGGAGCTGACCCACAGGGCGCAGCTGACCTCTCCTGTCCCGCCCGCTGCTCCCCTCAACTGTGGATTTCAGTCAGTCTGCTTGTTCTGCTCCCCAGTCGGTCTCTGGTGAATCCTCTCGCCCCCTGCACCTCTGCCTGTACCCCAGTTCTTGTATGCATAAATAAATAAAATAAATCTTTAAAAAATCAAGTTTCGTAGGAACTTGGGAATAAATAACTTACGTTGGTTTCTCTGGTTCTTTCCTACGGTCAGTGCTACGGGCAGAGCTGCCTTTTGGAGAGTCAGCGTCAGGCTCAGACCCACTGCTGCTCGACCGCCCGTGTCTCCTCCTGGTCTTCTTGTGACGCTGATGTTGCTTTTTTTTCTTTTTCTCTTTCTTCTTTTTTCGGCTTGTGTGTTTGAACTTTTTGTTAAAGTCACTTTCATCCGAAGACTCTGATTTCAGAGGACTTCTTTTTGGAAAAATCATTAGAATTATTTTCAAAAAAGAACTGAGGAGAATGTTAACATGCAAATAAAATAAATATGTAGAAGGGTTCTAAAAATGTCGCCACAGAGTTACTATTTGGTCATAGGTTATATATGGCCCTCAGAGATTATAACCCACCTTAAGAATTAAGAGTTAAATAAGAAATTCAATCACTTCTAAAACAAAAATGTCACATCTAGACATTTTTAAGTGAAAGTAATCTACCAGGTACCTCATTAAATATTGGTTTATTTTCAGTGTATCATGTCAGCATGAACTTACTGCCAAAAAATGGTTTAATTCTGGTCCTTGTTTTTAAAGATTTTAATGAAATATTTATTCCTCGTCATGAGGTAGCTCCAAACAACTCCCCTCTCATGCATCAATTCTTCTCAATTTCCAAACACTTCTTAAGCCTTTAGAGTACATGGCTTCCCAGGATTCATCAAGTTAATGAGACCATCTTGTCTAAATTTGCAAAAGCTCATTTCTCAAGTCAATGATCTAAAACAAAATTCTTTCAAAGCTGGGCAGAGAGATGTGCCATTTTGCTCTTCCTGGGTTTTCGTGAGATTCTGTCCTATTTTCTAAGAGCTTCTTTGACTTTTATAAAAGTGTTGGAAATTCAACGGAAGAAATACCTGAATTACAATATTCTGAAGGTTACTAATGAGGTTAGTAAAGTTGCCTGAGAACCACAACGACGCATTTCCCTCACGGCCTAATTATTGGTAGTAACCGTGTCACATACCTGCCACGGCAACGCAAAGGGGGAAAAAAGGAATAATCTATAAGTGTGAGGTAAAGGAAAATATCCAAAGATCACCTCATTACTGCAAGTAAAAGGAAGTATTTTTGGCTCTTTAATGACAAGGTTTCCCACCGAGTAGCCCTCAAACTGGGCTACGGCCCAGTACGTTGGCAAGGAGCACAAATCCACCCACCGAAGATCCTACCTTGTCAGCAGCGGCCCTTCGGACACAGGGCCCGTGGCCTCCTCAGTCTGTGGGCTCGGAGATGGTATGGTACCCACACAAAAGCTGGGGTTGCTCAGCCAATCCAGTTCTGCAAAGGCAAAAGGGGAGCGGGCGGAGACCTGACATCAGATCAGTATTTCTAAGGCAGGACGTCCACCTTATCAGCTGACATCCTCGTTCACAGCCAGACACTTTGAAGAGTTCACAGAAGCAGAAGGGAATCCGGGTCATATTTATTTCACAGGCACAGGGCTGTGCCACAGCCTAAGAGCCACGTCGTTTGTGTGACCTAAGAGGCAACGAGGCTTCACACATCCCACATTCCCAAGGGCGTGAGCTGCCACTCACCACACTGGACCCAGACAACCCCCAAAAGTCAAAAAAATCAAATCGTGCACACAAGCCACTATGTTCAATGTTAATATCAAAGATGAAGAGATTTTTCTTTATATACAATTCTAATATCCTCTAGCTTAGGATAATAACATAAGCCCTTCATTGTAATAGGATTCATTTCTCCTTGAAAATAAAAATGCAAGGTGTCAACTTCTCTAATTAGTGCTAAAATTATACAAGATATTAATAAGCATTATTGAATGGTAAGATTCAGTGCTGAAAAACTTTTTTTTATGCTTAACCATCAATTTCTAACCCTTCTGAAATCTACTCTTTCTAAATTACTTATTTCCTAATTTTTAGGAGTCTCAACAGTAAAGGAAAGATATAAAAAATGGAATAGAAGCAGCAAGGGAACCCAAGGAGGGGTTGGATTTTGTCCCGCTCTGTTTCAAACAGGAGGTCACCACACATTCCCCTGCAGAGGAAAACCCATGAAATGAAATTAGCAGAGAAGGGTAATTACATGTTTCTCCGTCATACTGAACTGGAATGCATAGCCCATTAAAAGTACAAAACTCAAAAGTTTTTAGTATATTTAGAAGAGGGCTACTATCACCATAAAATAATTTTAGCACATTTTTATCACCCCAAATGATGAAAATTTTCACCACCTATATCCCTACTAGTACTTTCTCCATCACCAACTTTCTGTTCCCCTAACCCTCTCAGCCCACTAATCTTTACGTCTCTTCAGATTTGTCTCTTTTGAACATTTAAAATATACAAGACCATACAAAATGTTCTTTTGCAATAGGCTTCTTTCACTTGGCATAATGTTTTTCAATGTTCATTCATGCTATACCACGTATTAGTGCTTCATTCCTTTTCATTGCTAAATAATATTTCACGGGCTGGATAAGGGTTCAACCCATTCATCAGCTGATGGACACTCAGGTATTTACCTCTTTGGTTATTATGAGTAATGTCACTATGGACACTCCTGTACAAACTTTTATATGACTGCACTTTCACTTAAGTAGCTATCCGGGAGCAGAACTACTGGGCCACATGGTTAACTCTGGCTTAGAATGTTGAGGAACTGCCAGGTTGTTTTGGAATTGGGTGCACCATTTTGCATTCCCATTAACACAGCAAGAGGGTTCCAATTCCTCCACATTGTCGCCAACTTGCTACTGTCTCTTAGATTAGAGTCATGCTACAGCAAAAGATGTAGTCTCATTGTGGTTTTGATTTCCATTTCCCTGCTGATTAGTGATGTTGAGCATCTTTTCCGTGTGGTTATTGGCCATTATAGTTGAAAAAAAAAAAAAAACAGCTATTTGCCCATATTTGGATTGCACTGTCTTTTTGCTACCAAGTTGTTCCGGTATCCTGCAGCTATTCTCTGAGGGTAACTGTGTATCAGTGAGGAGACACTGGGGATCATACTTCATGATGACAGGCTCTGTGTCTTATTCACTGTTATGTCCTCAGCGCTGCGATGCCAGGCACACATCAGCAGGAATTTTATAAGTATTTCTGGGAAAGAAGATAAAGAGGAAGGAAAATTCCCAAAGAAGACATGAAAAGCAACAGGAAAAGGGGAAGGAAAGGGCTCATCTCACTTAGGGTCAGTTGCAGGTCAGGCACCGGGTGAAGCTTTTCCATTCTTTAACTATGTAAGCAATACAGCAAAGTTCTATGGGAAGTACTGTGATCTCCACCACATAACGGAGGAGGGGGGAAAGGAAGGTTCGAATGCATTAAGTCATGTGTAAGGTCTCTCTCACCTAGAAGTGCTAAGCAACTGTTGGAGCAATCTTTCTTCTACCTCTTTTCCTTCTGAGGTTGGTTCCCTTCCTCCTGGGCCTAATTTCTGGCAAGGGGTATGATGTGAAAATAGCTGCTGCTGCTCACTGCGAGCACAATTATTCCACAATTTGCTCTCATGAGCAAAGAAAAAGATGGAACAAACAATATGTAAGGACAGATGTTCTCAAACAATTCCATTATATTTTTATAAAAATATTCTGGATAGTGATGACAGCTTGGAGGAAATGTAAAGAAACTCGGATGTCAAAACAGCATAGAGTATGTGACTCTCCAGTAGGAATTAGACAGGTTTTTGGTTACAATTAGGCTTGCCATATAAGACTATTATGAGAAAAAGTAATTTATAAAAAACTAAACTCCTGGGTATTGAACTTAAATCTTTTATCACTTATCTTTTGAGAACAACATCTCAATCAGATCAGTTTGGTGGGAATACAAATTGGTCCAAATACTATGGAAAGCTGTGTGGCGGAGTCTCAAGTTACTAAAAATGGAGTTATGACCCAACCATTCCACTCCTAGGAATTTACCCAAAGGTGACAAAAACATTAATTCAGAAGGAAACCTGCACCCCTACATTTACTGCAGCACTATTTATAATAGGTAAGATATGGAAACAACCTAAATGTCCCAAAACAGATGACTGGGTCAAGAAGGTGTGTTACACACACACACACACACACACACACACACACACACAATGGAATATTATTCAGCAATCAAAAGAGATAAACTCTTGCCATTTGCGGCAACATGGATGGAGGTGGTGGGGATTATGCTCAGTGAAATAAGTCAGAAGGAAAAAGAAAAATATCAGATGGTTTCACTTATAAGAGGACTATAGGAGAAATAAATAAAGGAGGGGGGCGAGGACAAAATTAGCAGGCAACTATGCATCAAAGACATTCAGCAGGAAGGGCGAGAGAGAGGAATTGGAACAGTGGCAGGAAGAACACGAGAGACTACGGTGTTTTCCCGGTGACTTGGTGGTAGGAATTTTACTGGGATTACACCTAACAAAGCAAATTGTACAAAAAATGAATAATAATGTAAAAAATATAAATTAAAAAAAAATAAAAAACAAAACGCAGTAGAGAGTCTGGGTTTACCTAAGAGCAGTGGAGAGAGATGCTCCAGGGCTTCCAGCAAGTGACAAAATCAGATCCAGAGTTGAAAAGATCAGCAACAGAGAACAGTGCTCAAGTCTGAAGCTAGCCAGCCTGAGTCGGCCTGACTGGGGCTTACCAGCCACGTGATGGTGCACAAGCTACTCACTGGCTCTGTGCTTCCGTTTCCTTTTCTTGAAACCTCACAATACCGACCTCAGAGGGTTGTGAGGATTCAGTGAGTTAGTGCCTGTTAAGCATTTAGGTCAGTGAATGGCACAGTATTTAAACTGCTGCTTACAAAGACAAATGCTCTATGCTCCCTGCAAGGTGGTGAGGTTGTGGGGTGGGGAACATGACTTCTGAAGGGGCCACAGCTCAGAGTGCGCCCTGGAAGGCCGGGCCCATGGCCCTGCAGCGGGCGTCCATTTAGCTGCCACTGTCTTCATTCCGGATGTAGGGAGGTAGGTTCTGCTGCAATTTGTAGCTGCAGAAAAAGGGAGGTCAGCTGGTGTGAGGCCTGTCTGGAGTTCTTCAGTCCAGTGCCACAGTTTAAGCTGCCTTTTCACTAGCTTCATTGTCTCCCAAGGAAGAGTCACTGTGTCAATTGACAACCTTTCGTACCAAATGCACTGTTACTTTTGTTTGTTTAGAATGATGAAATGTTTTTGAAGTAGAAACCAGAATTCCATTGAAAAATTAAAATGAACTCTGGCTGTGAAGGCGCAGGGTAGAGAGGCAGGACTTAAGAAGGGCGATGATTTAGGAGATTATTGGAATAATCCAAGAGATGATGGTGGCAAAAAGTTCGGTCGTGGCCAATGAATGGAAACTAATGAATTTAAGAGTAACCTGAAAAGACTGGATGAAGAAGGGAATGTGCGCAAGGGGGAGACAAGTTTTGGCTTGGGTGAATGGGGGTGCCAACTTCTCATCTGTGGCTACAAGATGCACAACAGGCTGGAGTTTGGGGGCAAAAGGAGTTGAGTTTCTTCTGTGGATCATATGCCTACTTCAGATACTGCATCAGCTCTAAATGAACTGTGAAGCCATCTTGCAGCCAAACTCTATCCTTGTATTTGATTCCCAAGCAACCTATGTTTTTTTTTAAATAACATAATAGTTCATGTTTACATCATTGTGTATTTTTTCCATCTCAGCTGCAATCCCCATGGGCTGCCCATCACCAAATGACCCCGTGTGCCATCACCATAGTCCAGTGCATTTCCCTCCCCCCACTGTTCTTGATCCCATTCCCCACTCCATCCCATAAAATATCTCTGTATATGGCTGTTCATTATTATTATTATTATTTTCTCACCTGCTCCATTATACTCCTGCTGTGAGTGAAACCATCTGGTATTTTTCCTTTTCTTTCTGGCTTATCCAGGCAACCTATGTTTTAAAGTGCATGATCCTAAAATACAAACTAAAAGGGTCCGACGAAGGGACTCGTTGCTCCTAACAAAAGAGCCCTGTGTGCACGCTGCTGAGGCAATGACTTGCGGAACTGAGCTCCCCCCTTCTCCTCATGAAAGCGATGCCTGCTTAAATCGTGGCGTACCTCTCACTATGTAGAGAGAGAAAGCAGAATATCACTCACCTCGCTACTGCTTTTCCTGTCCAGAAATATAATTTTCTTTTTAATTGAAACACTGGACCTACTACTACTATCATCTTCATTTTTATAATCTAAGGTCACAAGTACAGAGCTTCTATTTTTTTTTTCCAATGGAAAAGAACTTTAATAGAATTAGTATGCAATAGAAAGAAGAGAGTAGTTTCCTACTGAACACCCAAAATTACCCCTCCCATCATGGTAAATGACCAGCCAAACAGGGCTGAGCCAGAGCAGGGCCTCTGAGGCCCCAAGGCTTGCCACAGTCTGAGGCACTTTCTGGGGGGACCCATAGGAAAGGGGCCCAGAGCTTCTATTTCTAATAGCAAAAGACCAGAAATAGTCCAACCGTCCTTAATAGGAGACTGCTGGAATAAAGTAGGTGACATACACACTCTGGAGTTGTGTACAAATCAAAAGAAACAATCTGTATACTCAGCTGTATTGTGAGCTCTAGGATAAAGGGTTTAGGATAAAGGGCAGAACAGTGTGATTTTAAGAAAAAGAAGGGGAAAGGAATTGCTCATAACATGGGGGTGGGGTGGGGAGGGGAAGATATCATTGACTAATAAAAGTTTTCTTCCCCAGAGGTTAAATTAACTTGGAGGAGAAGAAATAGAAGCTCTTTTTCCTCTGAATTTACCTGGGTTATATTTAGAATCATATAATACTTCACATTATAAAACATGATCAAATCAAAAGGGATAAAGAAGTAATCCCCCAAAATTAAAAACAAACTTATGTATGTGAAATGGTAACCAAACCACACAGATTTCAAGTACTTTTTTTAAAAGATTTATTTATTCATGCATACAGAACTGGGATGCAGGAAGTGAGAGGATTCAGACAGAGTGGGGAGCAGAACAGGCAGATCGACGAAGTACACTGCTGAGGGGAGCAGCGGGCGGGTCAGGAGAGGTCTGCCACGCCATGTGGGTCAGCTCCAGGGCTGGGGATCGAACTCATGCTGAAGTGGTTTTAGCTTCTTAGTGCTGTGTTTTAACCTGCTACGCCACCAGGGAGCGCCCTCAAGTAATTTTTAAACACAGTAATTTGACAACACATTTTGTGTGTTATGTCTTAAGAACAGAACCATAAATACTGAACTACTGAATATTACTCACATTGGTACATATACAGATAATATAGATAGTCAATATACATAATTGTACTAGTGGCATTAGGAACTGAGATTCTAAGCACAAGAGGAAAGAAATATAAATATGAAAGCAAAGAGCTTTAGTAAAAGTCTGAGTCTTAAATTTGGATTGGTCATACCAAAATGAATTATATTTTCCTCTTCCCGGTTCTGGCCACTGAAAATGTCTAAAAGTAATGACAGCCCAGAGCGATGAATACTTCCAACAGGCAATTTGTGGTTTTGACAAACCCATGCCATTTCCCAGTAAGAGAAACTAGGGTTTTGGTTTTTTGTGTGGTGTGTTTTTGTTTTTTGAGAAACGACCAATTCCAGGCCCTAACAAGACATGTAAGCCGTAGGTTCTGGGCATCTTTTAGGCCAGAAAGCAAGGAAGTGATTAAGGACAGCTGGGTCATATCAAAAAGATGCAGGCACCAACTTGACTAGGCTCTCATTAGCCAACAACAGGGCGATTTAAGCCTTAGGGGAAAGTCTGCAATGGATCAAAAGATAAATGTTAGAAACCCATGAGTTCAGGGCCCTCCGTGGTGGCGCAAGGGGTTAGGACGCAGCACTGCAAGCTGGCCACAGCTGCTTTAGTGCCAGTTTGATCCCTGGCCTGGAGTCAACCCGTATGGCATGGCAGGCCTCGCCTGAGCCGCCCACTGCTCCCCTCAGCAGTATACTTAATCAGTCGGCCTGTTCTGCTCCCCACTCTGTCTCTGGTGAATCCGCTCACCGCTCCTGCACCTCTGGCCTGTACCCCAGTTCTGTATGCATAAATAGAAAAAAATTTTTTAATTAAAAAAATATATAGAAATCTATGAGTTCAAAATGCACTTCTATAATGTTTTGAGGACCCTGTTAGGGTTCCAGGACCCGATTTCAACCAACATGTGGTTGGAGATGTCCCCAAAGCCCAACGAGCAATTCTTGGACTCCAGGAGTGTGTGGAAGAACACAGCTCAGTTCTGCCACCACCCAGGGGTCACATCAGATCCCACAGTCTAAATGCTCAACTGCCCCAGACCGTCACATCCCGCACCAGCCAAAAGCCCTGTGTGTTTGACCAGACAGCTACCAATCAGAGGTTGACTGTGACCCCTGTGCCTCGGGTTCAATTAATCTGCTACAACCACCCACAGAACACAGGGAACCCACTTACTCACTAGAGCACTAATTTATTCCAAAGGACATAACTGAGGAACCACCAAGTGAGAGACGCAGCCAGCAGCCCCTGCGCACAGGCCCTCCCCAAGGCGCTATCTCCTCAAGCCTCCAAGTGCTCGCCACCCTGGAAGTCCCCTTCTTTGGGGGCTTTGTTACACAGACCTGACTTACTAACTCACTGGCCACTGGCAGCTGAATTCAATCTGAACTCAATCTCCATTCCCTCTCCCCTTCCCAGGAGTCTGCAGGTGGGACTGAAAGTTCCAACCTCCTGATCCCAAGACTGGTTCACCTGGCAACCAGCCTCCATCCTTAGTGCTTCCCCAAAAGTCACCTAACATAACAGGAGACAGTTTGTCACTCTCAATTCATAGGAAATTCCAAGGCTTTGGGAGCTTGGAGCCAGAAACTATGGATGAAGATCAATCAGATGTATGAGGAATACATACTGTGGTCAACTGAATGACCAACAAATATTTTTCTATGAATCATAACAAGGAAGACACTCCCAAATCGTTATTCTGAAAACTGTTAAAATCAAGTATTCTTCCTGACTTTCCTGCTTGAACTGTATGTCTGGGCGATCTAAGACTGTGGTTAAAAAAAAAAAAAGATTTGGATATAATAGTGGATGCTAATAAATATAAGAGAAATGTTAAAGTTGGAAATTAACCATTCTGTAACTTCCATTTAATAATGGCTCTAAGCAATAATCATGAATGGCTGCAAAAAGCTGATGGTCAACTTCATAATGGATTAGTCAGACTCTTCATGAAACCATGCATTAATCTTATCACTAAAAAAGAAAATGAGAGCATATCCCTCTAGTTTGATTCAGAGCAATTCTAATAGGTTATTTTCAATGTGAAAAAGTATACTTGTTTTAACTCTCTAGACCTAATTATCAGTTTAGGCAATACTGGGATAGAGAAGCTTGTTAAAAGACATCATGAATACTTGGCAGGAAATGTCCACAGCAAACATGACCCAGTTTCCTTAACAAATCACAAGGGAAAATGAATTTAATTTATATTAAAAAGAGACCTAAGAGACAAAGCCACAAAATGCAAATTTAGGTCCTAACTTGAACAAATAGGCCACTTTTTAGACAATATATTGTATTTGAACACTGATTAAGAAAACTAGGTAATATTAAAGAATAGTAATTTTATTATGAGTGATAATGCTCTTTAAATTTTTAAATAAATAGTACTTTCTGCATATCCCAGTGCTGGAAACCCAGATGGCCAATAAGTACCAGTTAAGACACATAAAAAGAATAACCATTTCACTCCCAAAATAAAAGGATGAACTCCTGACTTGTCATTCAAGTCATTACCCCTCGCTACCAGTCTCTTTCACCAAGGTTCCTCTTTATAAACATCTCTGTATGCCTCTGTATTTCCATGTAAACTGGACTACTTGCAGTTTTCAGTATAGATTTCTTGCTTTCCTTCCTGCATGTCTCTGAATGCCCTTGGGCTATTGTATATATCGACTACTCTCTTGAAGACCTTTCCCAAAAGTTAACTCCTGTGTAGTCTCTGAAATCTCCACCAAGTCATTATTCCTGTAATCCATTGGTGTCACTTAAGACATCCTTCCATGTACTGTTCTTTTTTTAAGTACCTACTACTGCACTGTACTTTAAGCCAATATTTATAGAACACCTACTTACTACATTTTGGGCAGACTAGGAACTAAACATCACGTGGTTACAGCCTAGTCAAGAACGACCAAACTTACAGGCGTCATCTACGAATTACAATGAGACCTGTTACCCAAACAGAGGTGCAGGGGCCCTGAGAGGTTGTAACAGAGGTGCCGGGTACAATCAGTTCTGCCACGTAAGGTGCAGGATTCTAGGTTACTTTAAATTACAATTCACCATGTGCCTCAACTTCTAACTGCAGCTCCTGAGGAATGTTGAGGCTTAAGTAAAAAGTAATACCAACACCTGCAGAAAGGCGACCCTTAAACGTCAGCTGTTTCCCCCACCAGCTTGTGCCTGTCTAGAGAAAAACTGTGCTTGATGAGACTCCGGATCCTAACTCCCTAGCTCGATGTTTGCGAGAAGATATGACTTCCACAAGCCGTTCAGAAATGCGTGAAACAGGAAGGAAAGATGCGACTAAGAATCCCCAGCCTTTGCATCAGGAGTCTCCTTGAGAGGTGAAATATCATTTCCATTTCACAGGTGCAGATTCTGAAGCTCGGAGAAAGAATGGGAACCAGCAAGTTGCTAACACCCAAGTCCCTGTCCGGGACCCGTCCCCGGCCTTTCTCCTTCTCTGACACAGAAATGCCACTCGTGAGGACGAAGAAGGAGCCTTCCCAGAAGGCTCTGCGGCGCGCGAAGAACTCTGGGATACAAGTGGATAAACAAACGCAAGATAAGGGCCGCGACTTGCGCCCGAGAAACTGCGCCTTGCACCCGCCGTGTGTCTCCTTCCACCCTGCTGTGTGCTTACCTTTCCTGGAGCTCCCGCTATCGGGAGCCTCACTAACGGCCGCAAAGGCCGGGAACAGCGCCATGATCACAGGCCGCACCGCCGTTCCCTTCACAGAAATGGCGCCGGGGAGCGGCCGCCGGTAGTGAGGCCTTCGCCATCGCGGTGCAGGCTGGGAAATGTAGTTTTCCTGGTCATGGCTGCGGCTCGAACAGCAGGCGAGTCGGGGCGCGGCAGGTGGAAAGGAGCGAGTCGAAACTGGGTACCCCGCTTTTCTTCAGAACTGGAAGTTATGGAGACTGGGACTTGGAGCTTTTCAGAGCAAAGAAAGAGTAGAACGTTGGGAATCCAGTTCGATCTCTGAACTTACACCATTACTTGCTACTAGGTCAAGTTAATCAAACTCCAATCTTTAGTTTCATCATCTGCAAAATCTTGAAAAGGTTAAAAGAAGATATAGATAAAGTGCATGATATTGTGCAGAGTATTCACTTCCACGTGAAAGTTAGCTGTCGCGTGAGTTAGCTGCCAGTCCAACTCAAAAGCTTGTGACATAACCAGCCTTCAGTTGGTTTACTGTTGGGTATATTTTAGGAATACCAAAGAATTTGTGATCTTGCCAGGTTCAAAGCTATTGGCTAGTTAGAAAATACATTACCTGCCTAAGAAGTACGTTTTAAAAATTGGAAGCAGAATCTAATTAAGCCTGCTACCAGAAAGAGAAATAAGGAACAATTTAAAGCGTTCATACCACTTACAGGTTTAGAAGTAATCAACCAAATCCAGAACGTGGGGAATTATGGAAAATAACTCAGTTTCTTCACACCGATGGTTTTAAGGGGATGGAAGATTACCATAGGTTAAAAGACCTTAGAGACATATCAAACAAGTGTATATATTACCTCATTACTATTATGATAGGAAATATTGCAAAAAGACCTTTTTGACAGATGGGAAAATAAGAGGTAGAAAAAGTGTTAGACGTTGATAATTCTTGTTACTTCTGTTAGAACTAATGGCACTGGGGTTACTGAAGGTCTTACATTAATTACAGAAACATACTCTGTATATAATTAGAGGTACATTACTAATATGAATTAAATGACACCTTTCCACATTCAAGGTCATGATTCAAGGGCCTGGAGGTGGTCCAATTAGTTTCACTGATGAGTGAGACTTTTAAACTGGTCTACCCAGAACTTAAAAAAGCAAACTCCTTTCATCCTAAGAAGGAAAAAATCCTCAGTCATGAACTCAGGCAAACTGGAGAAACGGGTCTATCAGCTCATACTATCTTAAGGAATTCTCTAGAATGTATGAAGTAAAAGAAAGAAAATGTGCTCTTGGTAAACAGAAGGAAATAAAAGAATTTGAGTCATTTCTTTAATGGGAATTTTTCCCTTTTTTTGAGGGGGTGAGAATTTTTTAAGCTGGAAATGCCTTAATTTACAGACAAAATGCCAAGCAAATAGCTCTTCAATCATAGCTGAACTAGTCTATTTATGACTATTTAAAATTCATATACTCAATCTGTCTGAAATGTGTAAGGTTTTGAGAAGTCATGCAAATTAAAGGGTGGCATACTAGATAATGATGTTACCATTTAAAAATACCTTTAGGAGGAATCTCACTTAGCTTTAGTCTCCTGTAAGGAATCTTGTATTATTTGAGCTGAACACATTTCCTTTCTTTTATTTTTTTAAAGATTTATTTATTTATGCATACGAACTGGGGTACAAGAGTGGTGAGAGGATTCACCAGAAACAATGGGGAGCAGAACAGGCAGACTGACAAAGTACACTGCTGAGGGGAGGCAGCAGGCAGATCAGGAGAGGTCTGCCTCACCATGGGAGTCACCTCCCTGGCTGGGAATTGAACTCATGCTGCAGTGGCTATGGCTAGCTTTGTAGTACTGGGCTTTCCCCCGTTGCACCACAAGGGAGGGCCCTGAGTACAACCAGTTTTATAAGACTCCATAAATTGGCCTGGGTAGCTCACTTTTAAATTACCACTCATTTTAAAGTGCCCTGAAAGAATTTTCAGCTTTGTGATTTAGAGTGCTTCCAAAAGTGATATGATTTATATATAAGCTACGTTGGTAATGAAAGAGATCAGTGAAGCAGCATTAAATTTGTAAAAAAAAAAAACTTTAACATGCAAATAGTTAAATCCCCATGATCCCATGATTTGTGCTGCTTTTCTTGGACTAGACAAGTGACATTTTATGAACTGGTTTGGCTGAGTCTCCTTTTATGAACTGTTTGATCTTATTAACTTATAACTTTGGTTTCTCCTGCTTTGTGACTATGTCTTTTAAATGTGAAGTTGATTTCTTCCTCTCCTTTATATCATCTGCTTTCTCTTGTCAAAAAGAGCAAAAATGAGAAATTTTCTCCTGTAAATTTCCATTTGCTGGTGAAAGTATCTCAGTGAAAGTGATTTCACCTTTTGCCCACCTATTTAGAGACAAGAGGAAACAGGCTCTTACCACTTTAAATATGCAATATATACCTTAGACAGAAAAAGCTTTACATAAAGGAAAGTATGAGGAACAATCACCCATATCTCCAGTACCAAAGACATGTACTATATTGGAGTATTTCTCTGGAAATATTTTTTTGTATGCTTTTCTGCTGTCTCAGCTTATGGGCATATTTTATCATTGTAGTTGTGGCTACCTTTCCTCAATATTATTTTTTTCCTCCTTAATATTCTACACAAGCATCTATTTTACTACAAACCTCATAACATGTACTAGATAGATAATATTTTATCAACACATGAGATAACAATGTGCTTTTCTATTTCCTATTTCTAGGTAATCGGCAACTCTTATTTCTTTTGTCATCTCATCCATGTTATCTATAAATTCTCTAAAACATAAATGGCTGGACAGGATTATCAGCCACAAGTTCTTAAATAACAGCTCATCCACGAATAGCCGAGAGGGATGTTTGTAATGAGGAACTACCACTGGTGGAGCATGAGGAGAGGAGAGGTTGTGAAGAGTGTGTGTGTGTTTGCAGTGGTGGGGTGCAAGAAGAAGCATCTTTTAAAAGACAGTTATTTCAAATATTAAAAGCAAAGCTCCACAATACCCTAACAGCAGTCACTCACCTACAGGCAAACATACAGACAGACAGACAGCTGAACGAACAATTCTGGCTGAAGAGACAAGTGTAAAATTATTGTAGAGTGAGCACGGATTACTGGCAGCATGGAGGGGCTCAGGATTAACTCTGCCCAGGAGTGCTCCACAGAGGTGGAGCTGCTTACCTGGGTCTAGGATAGGTGAGGCAGAGTGCACTGTATAAACAATGGAGGAAACAAAAGCAGGTAGAGCAACAAGCACGTGCGTGCATCCAAATTATAGAACAGGAGGCTGTGTCCAATCGGTTTATGTTGAGGGGTTTGGGGGGTGAGCCTGAGAAGCCTAACGGGGTCATGTATTGTAAAGAATGTAGTTCTTATCCCTTGTTCTTCCTCAGAGGTAAACAGGAAGTCCTTTCAATTTTCTGAGTCTTTGTCATTCATGGCGGTCCCCTGACTGCACCTGCCTGTTTGCTAACAAGATGAGTCAGGATGTGGAATGACTGCTGGGAAGAACAACCATTAGGTTGGAGCACAGGGCCTGGTGCCAGGAGACCTCTCGGTGTGGTGGGGTTGGAAGTTGAGTCACGTGGCCAAGCATTCAAGCAGCTGTGCCTGTGTGATGAAACCCCAATAAATCTCCAGACAACCCAAGGTTCCAGTGAACTCCCAGATTGATGTCTATAGCAATGTGGTAGTGTGGGGGTGCAGCCTGATTCACAGGGAAGAAGCCCAGAAGCTCTATCTTCAAGCTACTCCCAGACCTCACCCTGCTCACCCTGTGTGCCACTTCATTTGACTGGCGCAGATTTGTATGTTTATGATAAAGCTGTTGTCCCAGACCCAGCACTTTTCTTGTTCTGTGAATCACTGTAAGCAAAACTGAGGTGGTTGGGGGAACGCTGAATTTGCAGCCAGTTGGTCATCAGTGTGATAGACAGGGGATCCCTGTGCTTGCATTCTGCATCTGAAGTAAGAGTAGTCCTTGGGGGGGACAGATCCCCAAACCTGTAGGTTTGTGCTAACTCCAGTATTGCACCACGCTGAGGATTTTGGGCCTCATTTTGAAGTTTAAGTAAGGGAATGTGCAGACCCACAGGCTGGCAAAGTTGGGGAGGTAGGGTGGAGGCTCCGGGGAGGCCAGCAGGCCACCCTGGGAATCTTTTTGCATTCTGGGCTCTCTCTGGTATTCCTGTCTCTCCTGCAGTCACGTCACCCATCTGTCTCAGCCATAGTCCGTCTCTGAGTGACGCTGCCTTTGCCTCTCTGACTCCTAGGCTAGGTATGCACACTCACACATGCGTGCACAGCCATGTTCCAGGTGTCCATAGTCAGGCCCACGTGCCCAGGCCCACGGTCCCAAGTCCTTTCTGCATCCACATCATCAAGGCCATCGGTGATAGCCACAGAGGCCAGTGGCACAAAAAGCCTGGTTAATTCATCTACCCTACAGGAAATATCAAATATTTGTACCTTAGAAAAATCACTCTGGCCTAAAGAATGGACTAGACAGGGAAGAGTATGAAAAGGAGTATGTTATGATTGTTGGAAAACATTAAAATCGGCTGGCGTACAGCAATTAAGAGTAAGGGTGGATGACCAAAGAGTTCTGTGACGTAACTGTGGGAAGCAGCCAATCAGAGAGCAGCATCCAGGGCTGCTGCTGCCAGGGTGTGCCAGGCTGTCCTGGGAAAACTGAAGTTTTCAGCAGATGCCACTTTCAGTTAGCAGCAAGCTAAGAGATTGGATCTTTCAAAAATGAATAAAAAAGATTTCCCTGGACCCTGCCTGGTTATGTAGCAGGTTAAAGCGCAGCACTATGAAGCTCTCCACAGTCACTACAGCACAAGTTCAACCCCTGGCCATGGAGCTGACCCACTTGGCACAGCAGACCTCTCCTGACCCACCTGCTGCTCCCCTCGGACGTGTATTTCAGTCCATCTGCTTGTTCTGCTCCCCACTGTGTCTGGTGGATCCTCTCACCTCCTGCACTCTGGCCTGTACCCCAGTTTG